CGTCCTGTCTGCGACGTTAAAGAATTCTTGAGGAGTTACGGGGGATCTCCTTAAATGCCTCCTGATCAGCCACTGGTTCAGTAGTGACAGCCATAGTATAGGTCTAGGCTAGAGATCCTAGTTGGCAGGATCCCTGTCAGGATTCTGTGAGTCATTAGATTGAGTCAATAGGTTTGTCAGTCAGGGGTCAGAGTCTACATGGTGAGGTTTGGAACCACTAACCCGGTTGTACACTTATCACCATGGTGGACCTGCGTAGTGGGAAGAGCACTAGCCCCTATACCGCTGAGCAGCAAGGAAAGATGGCCGCCGTAGCCAAAGAGAATAGGCAGAGGAAAGAGCGTGAGAAGCAGGCGAAGCTAAAGGCTATCGCAGACGAGCGGGCGGCGAAGCTAAAGGAAGTGGAGGAGGAGATGATGAAGAAGGAGAAGGCTGTTGAAGAAGAAGCGGCAGCAGAAGAGGCAAAAGAAATGATGAGGATTGAAAGCGGAGAAGGAAGTAGTGGCACGAAGGAGGACACAGACGCGGAGATTGAAAAGAAGATCGGCGAGTGGGTTGCTAACTTATCGTTGGGGGAAGACGAAGAGGCGGAGTCATACGTGACTGAGGATGAGAAGGCCGCATTGGCCGCTGAGCTAGCAACCATGAAGGATCCTATGGAGCGAAGAAAGCGGGAAGACGAGCAAAAGTTGCAGTGGAAGCTGAGGATGAAGAGGGAGAAGAGGAGGAGGAGAGAAGAGGTAAACAAGATGACCGCAGCAGTGGCAAAAGTGCAGGAGTGTAGAGCGGAGGTATTGGCCCAGCCAGATGATAAGGCCAAATGGGACAAAGTACTGGGCTACCTAGAGGTGTTGAGTAAGGCCTGGATGGAGGAGCGCCAGGCTAGTTGGAGTCAGGATGTAGCATTGAGTGCCATGCGGTCAGGATTTAGGGAGTTTGCGCGCGAGATCGTCACCCACATTGGGGGCAAAGTGAAACAGTTGAGGGACAACGTAGGGAAGTATTGCGAAGGCGCCATTGAGGGTGCCAAAGCCAAAGCTGCTGCAGAGGGCGAAGGTAGACCCCGCAAAGAGTCTGTAAAGCTCAAGTTTCCAGACGCATACGGGGGAAAGAAGGAGGAAAACTTTGACAACTGGGAGGCCAGTGTCAACAGTTATATCTATTTGCAGCATATCCTAACTGAGGAGCAAGTCCTCGTGGCCTTCCAGGCCCTCAAAGATGAAGCGGCTAGCTTCGCCAGGTCTCTTGCGCGTACAGCCGGTTGTGAAAACAACCTGGTTGCATATTCCAAAGTCACTCCTCTTTCCCAATTCCTCAAGCTCCTCAAGGAGCGGTTCGCTGACCCAACGCGAGGCATTAGAGCCTCTGATAAGCTCCTAACGATCCACTCCCGGCAGTGGAGGAGTGCCAAGGCACTTAAGGGTACTATGGACGACTTGGTAGCCGTCCCGGACCACGGGGTCACCGAGCCCCAGTTGGTCGAGTTGTTTTATCGTGTCATCCCAGAGCCCCTACGCGGGCATTTCTTTGACAAGTCTCAGCAGGCCGACATCACATATGATCAATTGAGTAGGGAGGTCGTCCTGTATGAGTCAAAGTCTATGCCAGTTACCACTTTCTGGCAYAAGGACCTGGAGAAGGGGAAGAAGTGGAAGAATCGTACTATCTCAGGCCAAGTAARGGCCAAGGATCACATGATCCTGACGTTAGAGGAAGGTGGTACTGATGAGGTCCCRTATGATCAGATTGAGTGGGGCCTTGAAGATGATGGCAGTAGTGAGGGGCAGGGGAGGTCTTACGCTGTTGTCGCGGCTGGAGGGAGGTCGCAAGGAGGAGGAGGAGGCCAAGGCCAAAGGGGCCAGGCCATGGGAGGCCGAGGACCGGGCGCACAGGGGGTTGGCGGACAGGGAAACCGCCAAGCGGAAGGTAGGGGTCAAGGTCCCCCGTTAAATCGCCAGGGTAATCGGTCCCCACAACGAAGAGGTGGAAGAGCACCTCAAGGAGGTTGGCACCCAGGCTTGCCACAGGGCAGGCCCTGGGAAGACTTGGGCCACGTGTTGGACGGAGATGGCATTAAGCTAGAGGACAGCAAGATCGCGGCGATCAGAGATTGGCCGACGCCCCGCACATTGACAGAGTTGCGGTCGTTCCTAGGCTTAGCTAACTACTATAGGAAGTTCRTAAGGAACTTCTCTACTATCGCCGCTCCCTTGCGCAGGTTGCTGAAGAAAGAGGCAATCTRGCAATGGGACAAAGACTGTACGTCTGCGCTCAAGAAGTTAAAGCGCGCGTTAACAGAATATCCTGTCCTCAAAGTAGCAGATCCGTCCTTGCCATTTGTGGTTACCACGGACGCAAGTCAGTATGGGATAGGTGTCGTGTTGCAGCAAGACGACGGAAATGGCTATAGACCCGTAGAGTTCATGTCAGCGAGGATGCCCTGTGAGAAGGTCGCTACCTCCACGTACGAGAGAGAACTCTACGCTCTCAGGCAGGCTTTGGACCATTGGAAGCACTATCTGCTTGGGAGGCACTTCAAAGTGTATTCCGACCACGAGACACTTTGTTGGTTAAAGACGCAGGCCAAGATGACACCTAAGTTGACTAGGTGGGCCGCAGAGATAGACCAATTCGACTTTGAGCTCAAACCAGTGAAGGGCAAGTACAACGTAGTTGCGGATGCTCTGAGTAGGAGACCAGACTACTTTGGAGCCTTAGTATACTATCTAGATATAGGGAGAGACCTGCAGGAGAAAGTGAGACGAGCGTATACGCAGGACCCTATCTATAGTGACCTCCTAAAGAGAGTTAGAGAGGCTCCAGAGACCGAACCAGATTACCGCACTACAGACGGGTTGCTGTTTGAGAAGACTAATATGTTTGATCGCCTGTGCATTCCCAACAGCGAAGAGATTCGTAGTCTGATTCTAGGGGAATGCCACGATACTGAAGGGCATTTCGGTTGGCAAAAGACATTAGCCAACCTGATGCGTGTGTATACGTGGTGAGGGATGAAGAATGACTGCATAGAGTATGTCCGCAGTTGTAAAGTGTGCCAGAGGAATAAGTCTACTACACGCGCGCCCCTAGGTCCTCTCAGACCCTTGTCTATTCCGGATCGCTCGGGAGACTCAGTGTCTATAGACTTCATGGACACGCAAGTCAAGAGYAGACATGGTAAGAGCCAAGTCATGGTCATAGTTGACCGATTTAGTAAGTATGCAGTTTTTGTTCCTTTGCCTGCAGAGGCACGTACGGCTATGTGTCCGAAATCAGATTCAACGGGGGTTTTGAGTTGAACGGTTCAACTCCCATTCAACTCCCGTTTCAACTCCCCGTTGAACCGAGTTAAACGTGGTACAACTCGGCCCGCGGATTTTTTTTTTGCAAGCAAAACATAGGTGAAAAAATATATATATATATGGGGGTGTAGATTGTTTTGCTCTCTACATCCCCATATTTTTATGTTTATTTTTTTAGCATTAAAATTATTTTTAAAAAATAAAAAACAAAACCAGACTCAAAACAGATAGATTTTTTTTCCTTTTTTGTTTTGATTGATTGATTGATTGATTGATTGATTGATTGATTGATTGATTGGTGGGGGATGGGTCGCTCCCCCAACCCCCACCCAATCACACACACACACACACACACACACACACACACTCACTTTCTTTCGCCCAAGCTGCGCGGGCGGGGACCCCGCCCAACTTCAGCGCAAGTGAGTGTGTGTGTGTGTGTGTGTGTGTGTGTGATTGGGTGGGGATTGGGGGGGCGCCCCATCCCCCACCAGTCAATCAATCAATCAATCAAAAAAAAAAAAGGAAAAGTTGAAATAACGAGAAAAGTGGGTTTTCATCTTTTTTTTTCCCTTTTTTTTCTCTTTTGATTGATTGATTGGTAGGGGATGGGTCGCCCCCCCCCCCCCCCCCCGATCACACACACACACACGCACACACACACACACACACACACACACACACAAACACACACACGTAAAAAAATAAAAAAATAAATAATTTATT